TCTCCTGATGAACTCTGATGCTCCTCTTCCTGGGGTGGCTAGGATTATTATTATTATTATTGATCATCACAATCAGCCAGATGTTCAGACTGGATTTGGCATTTTCGTCTACCTATAGAGCAATGGTCACCAACCAGTGGTCTACAGACCACTGGTGGTCCGTGAGAAAATTTTGGTGTTCCATAGAAAAATTATTTGCCTTTTTATATTGCACTAAATACTATTTATCTTTTTTAAAAAATTCGTATTAGTGGTCCGTGGGATTTAAAATTATGAATTTAGTGGTCCCCTGAGGTCCGAAAGGTTAGTGACCCCCACTATAGAGTCCTTACCAAGGACCCACGATTATTATTTCTATTGCTATTATTATTATTATTATTACTGGTGGTATTATTTAGACTGAATCTAGCCCTGCAGAGGTCAAGAGAGAAAGATAGATAGATACGGTGTTTCCTCGAAAATAAGACCCTGTTTTATATTTTTTTGAACCCTGAAATAAGTGCTTGGCCTTATTGTCATGCACTTAAAAGCCCGACTGGGCTAATTATCAGGGGATGTCTTATTTTGGGGGAAATATTAGATAGATAGATAGATAGATAGATAGATAGATAGATAGATAGATAGATGGATGGGACCTAAGCAACCAATAACCCTTAGACTTCTATACCGCTTTCCCAGTGCTTTCCAGCCCTCCCTAAGCAGTTTCCAGAGTCAGCCTCTGGTCCCCCCCAACCCTCCGGGTCCTCATTTTACGACCTCCACAGGACAGAAGGCTGAGTCCATCTCCAGCTTCCTGAGGGGCTCGAACTGGACCTGCATCCTTTTTTTTTTTCCCCTTGGCATCCTCTGCACCCAGGTGACCTTCAGGGACAGACCCTCCCAGGGAGAGACAACCAAGCCCCCCCCCACCCTTCCTCCCTCCCCCTCCCCAAGGCCAGCCCTGTGTGTGTGTGTGTGTGTCGGGGGAGGAGGGTCGTGTGAAGGGCTCCGCGTGTGCCTGGGAACGGAGCGGCAGAAGCCCCCTCCCCAGGCGGGAGGGGAGGGAAGGGAGGAGGGGGCAAGGGAGAGGAGGCGGAGGGCCGCCGCGTGGTGGGGCGTCGGGCGGGCCGGCTCTCCTCCTCCTCCATCTCAGCAGCGCCCTCAGCCTCCCTCTCTCTGGCTGGCTCGCCCGCCGCCGCCGCCGCCTCCATACAAAAGCAAAATGTCCGCCGCCATCTTCGCAGGCAGCCAGTCAGTCAGTCAGTCAGTCAGGGGCCGCCTGGCCTCTTTCCCTCCCGGGGGTGGGGAGGGGAGGAAGGAGGAGGAGGAGGGGGGGAGGGGGCGAGGGAAGGGGCTGCTGCTGCCGCCCCCCCCTCCTCCTCCTCCCCCCCCACCCCCGCTTACCTTGATGCAATAAGGCGCCTCGTCGAAGGTGACCAGCATGTACCTGTCGCCGCGGCTGGCCGGGTCTCGGGCCCTCAGCTGAGGAGAGAGAGAGAGAGAGAATTGGGGGGGGGGGGAAGAGAGAAGAGAGTGAGTGTGTGAGGTGAGATGAGGGAGGGGGGGCGCTGAGGGAGGGAGGGGGAGGGAGGGGAGCCGACACGCGTTGGCCGGTGTTACGTGTGAACGTGCTTGGCGGGACGCGCGTCAGGCAGGCCCGGGCCCCACCTTCATGAAGAGCTCGACGGCGCCCTTGGCCACGTCCAGGTAGCTGGTGCCCAGATACGCCCGCTGGTTCATGGAGGCGGACGTGTCTATGAGGAAAAGGAGGATCGGCATGGTCCGCGAGAGCCCCGCGGCGGCCAAGGGCGAGGGCGCCCCGCTTGACGCCTCGCCTCCTCCTCCTCCTCCACCAACAACGCGCTCCCCGCTCCTGGCTCCGGCCGGCCTCCCCTGCCCTCCCCTGCCAGCGCTCCGCCTGGGCGACCCTCCGCTCCGGCCGCCGGGAGTCACTGAGCGGCTCCCAACTTCGGCTCGCTCGCTCCCTTGCTTCGGCGGCGGCGGCGGCCGGCGCCGCCCCTAAGGGGGAGGGGCGAGGAGGGGGGCACGTGACCCCCGGGCGGCCTCCCGTTGGCTGCCGATTATGCCGAGATTTGCATAGGGGGCGGGGGGACCGCGCTGCGGCAGGCAGGGCGGGGAAGCCGAGCGGCGCTCCGAGGGCCTTCGGGGGCATGATTGGCAGTCGGGGGAAGGGGCGGGGCCAGGGACGGCGCGGCGGCGGCTGCTCTGCTCAGCTCCGCAGAGGGGTCGGGGGGAGGGAGGGAGGCGGACGCGGGTCCCGGTCGCTCGTGGGGATGCTGACTTCGCCTCCGCGGGGCAGGGAGACGGGTCTCCGGGGCTTCCCCTCCCGACTTGGGGGATCCGCAGCTCCCCGCAGTTGAGGCGATCTCCTCCGGGATCGGGCCCTTGATAGGATCGGGCTGCGCCCCTGGAGCCAAGCCGAACGCCCCGTTCCCCCCCCCCGCAGCTTCTGCTGCCCCCAAAGGCCCGGGAGCCTCGTTGCTTCCCGGGCAGTGCCGCCTCTGCCGGGGTCTCGAGGCCGGGAGACCCCCGTCCCTTCCTTCCCTCCCTCCCGGCACCGCTGCGCCAGGTTGGGCAGGTCGCAGCCTTGGGGGCATTTCAGGGGGGTCTTAAGGTTCACACACTGCCGAGCGCGGCTGGGTTTTGGGTCCCGTGTGAAATGCAAAGCCAACCGCGGCTTTAAATGCAGGGTCGGTGGTCCCTGCAATTAGCCCTTCCGAGCGCCTCGATCCAGGCTCGGACAAGTCAAAACTCGTTGGGACGAGCCTGGCTGATAAACCGGCCCGGTGGCCCGGCCGCTTCTCCCCCAGATCGGCTCTCGGAAGCAGACGAGGCTAAAACGTGGCTATTTCGATTGCTTCTTCAAACCCCCCCCCTCCCCGAAAGCTTTCAAGGTGGTTTGATTTGGAGGCGCTCCCATTCTTGCCTCCTTTGTGGGAATGGCTCGTTTCCTGTTTTGCATTAATGCCAGGTCCGACTGGAACCAGCGACATAAAATAAAAAGATTCTTGCCCTTAGAAAAATCGACTTGCGGTCCTTTCAAAAATAGGTATCCCCAAACCCTGGACTCGAACATAATTGTTTTGTAAACATACATGCCAACTGTACTGGAGCAAAGGAAAGAAAAATATTTTGTTTGGGGACCATCTATTCTCAACATCCTTTCTTTTCTTGTTTTTGTACTCCTGGATCTTTGCCATTGGTGAAAAGCCAAGCTGTTTGGGGCAGTGTTAAATAGAGAGGTATGTATATATATATATATATATATATATTATATATATATATATGTGTATGTATGTATGTTAGGTTTTATTTGATTTATTTAGATATCACTCCCAATTTTACCCCCATACCCATACTCAGGATATATATATATATATATATATATATATCCTGAGCTGGGATGGGGGTAAAATTGGGAGTGATCTAAATAAATCAAATAAAACCTAACATGGGGTTTCACCGGTGGGGCAGAGCAACAAAGGGGAAGCTGAGCATTAGTCACTTCTAATCAGTAGATGACAAAAATGTAATCCTTATCTGGGGTTAAAACTGCTTCCTTTAAATAAATGTCTTGTTCTAGGGTTGGATGGAATTTCCCTACCCAGCAAGAACAAGGTGAGAAAAACAAGGCACCAAGCAATAAAACAAAAAGCTAAAATTTCGTTAGAGGTATAAATGCTAAATTAAAGTCTGGTTTCTCTTTCATAAACACCCGCCAGACAGGAAGTGGATAAATGAAAGGCAGCAATTGTGGAGGCCAATCTGACAGTCTTCCTAATCCTTGTGTCCCCCACCCTCAAAATACAAGTCTTAAAGAGAATAATCTAGTGCTAAAACCGTGTTTACCTGTAGCTTGTCTTGAGATTACCCATAGCTGGTATCCGACTGCCAAACCTGACCTCCAACATTATGCCACCTGCTCCATCATCGTTTTGCAGAAAAATAATTTGAGAAAAATTTATTGAGAAAAAGATGGGAAGCCATTCAGGTTTTGTTGTTGCTGTCAAGAGAGATGACTTAATTCTCATTTTTGGAATAGCTTTTCGTGGTGCAACAAGAATGTTCTCCCTTGGTAGAATCACTTCAGCACTTCTAAGGGGAGTGATAACAATTTAATTACTGTTGGCAGAGCTGTCTTTATAATGAGATCAGTGCAGCTTTCTCCATAATGGGACTTTTTCAGCTTTGCAGCAGCTAACTGTTGCAGAACTGGGTGAAAACTGGGAAGGTTGTTGGGTCCGCATCATGTGCTCGGCCCAAACCAACGGACGCGTATTGCAAACCTGCATATGAATTTATTTTTATTTATTTTTTTGCATTGCTGTCTTATTCGTGGCTGGGGAATCCTGGGAGTTCAATGGGGAATTCTGGGAGTTGAAGTCTTAAAAAAGGTTGGCCTAAGCCAACGTGTGGTTCTTTTGGGGGTCCCCTTGGTTAGTGCTGTGAATTGTGGATGGGCTTGGCAGTTGCAACCCAGTGGGAAGCCCACAGTGGCTTATTCAAGACATCCCAGTCAAGCCAACCAAATCAATGCATGAAGGGGAAGGGATCCACTGGGAAAGGCGGATCTCCTGTTTGGCCAGCAAATTTGCAGCCTGGCAAGGGTCCCTTCACTCCCATTCCTCTTGATTGCAAGGCCTTTATGGACATTACGTGTCTGTTTTTCAATAACCCTCCCCCACCGACCCAAATGAACCACCCCTCCCCCTCTTTCTCCTCTCCCACAACAGCCGTTACAAATGGCGGCCCGGCCAGCCTGAGAGCCGAAGGGCGCATGCGCGGGCTTGGCGACCGCGTCTCCGGAGCCACCGCAGGAAACGGGCTCTGCGCGCGCACGCTTCATGCCATCGATTGCGGGGAGGGAGGGAGGAAAAAAAGAGGAGGAGGCGGTGACGCTAAAGCGTTAGTCGCCGCGCAGGCGCAGTGCCTCTAGGTCTTCCCTCCTCGCTCAGTCCTCCACCTTCCCGGCGTCCTTCGGTGGCCCCGCCCCCCGATGACGTCAAAAGGGGGGCCGGGGAAATCGAGACTGGCGAGCCGGCCTGCTGAGGAGAAGAAGGCCCGGAGGTGGCGAGGCGGGACGGCGGCGCTTCCCTCCGCGGTTGCCGCCCACAGACGAATCCGGGACGGCGAGCATGGCCGGCGGGGTGAGCGAAGGGCTCTCGTGAGGGGCGGGGCGGTGGAGGAAAGCCCCCTCGACTCGGAGGGTCGTGTGAACGCGTGGACGCGTGTCAGCAAGGAGGACCCGTGTCGGGGCTCCTCCCAGCCCCAAAAGGGAGGGTGTCAGAAATGGAGGGGCGTCCCGGGCCGGGGTCGTTGGGAAGAGCGAGGCCTGTCGTCATGGGGGAGGAGGAAGGGGAGGAGAGGAGGCTTTTGGGGTGGGGTGAATGTCAGTCATTTAAAGCCGGGGAGGGGGGGGGCTAAGAAATTGATGCCCGGTTGCTGGAACGGGTCTCCCCTTTTTAGGGGCTGGGGTCCTCAAGATTGCCTGTGCCTTAGCAAGAAGTGAATGGGTTGCAGCCCTATTTCAGGATAAAGTGGGGAGGATAAAGTGGGGAGGGGGCCTGCAGCCCCCATTTCAGGATAAAGTGGGGAGGGGGCCTGCCTGAACCTTCCCTGGAAGCAGATAGTGGGATTGGGGGGGGGGTGTTGTGGGGAGGGGGCTGTGCCTGGATGGACCTAGAATCCCCTTGTTGTTCCCCCCCACCCACCCCCTCCCTCACTCCGTCTCAGGTATGTCTGAAAGAGGCCGAGGCTGCTTCACAGTCCCCGGATTTGGGAGATGAGCCGAGAACAAAGAAATCCAGGCTGATCTGCCACTTCAATGGTTTCCAGGAAGCGGATGTCCAAGAAGAGTAGAATGATTCATAAACATGGAATCAAAACCATCCGTTGGTCACTTCCTGCCTTCTGTTGGTCTTCACCCCGGAGTGGGGGAAAAAAAACATGTCTGAACTGCCTGTGAACTTTATAGAGCAGTGTTTCTCAACCTTGGTAGCTTGAAGATGGGTGGACTTCAACTCCCAGAATCCCCCAGCCAGCAGCGCTGGCTGGGGGGTTCTGGGAGTTGAAGTCCACCCATCTTCAAGCTTCCAAGGTTGAGAAACACTGTTATAGAGATTAATTGAAGTCAATAGCACTTGGACTTATATACCGCTTCACGGTGCTTTAACAGCCCTCTATGAGTGGCTTAAAGAGTCAGCCTATGGCCCCCAACAATCTGGGTCCTCGGTTTATTGACTTTGGAAGGATGGAAAGCTGAGTCAACCTTGAGCCGGTCAGGATCAAACTGCTGGCAGTCTGCAGAGTTTGCCTGCAATACTGCCTTCTAACCACTGCGCCACCGTGGCCCAATGATGTGACACCCCACCCACACACACACACACACACATCTTATTGCTGGAATTTAGCTGGTCAGACAAGAATGAAAAATAATTTATTATCTTATCTTGATAGGTAGGTAGACAGATATATAGGGAGAGATGGATAGGCAGGCTGCTGAAGGAAATTAAACAAACTTCCTATGTTAAGACTACACGTAAAGTCATCATGTGTATTATAACAACATGGAAAGAACACAACACATAATTTACTTAAGTAAATAAGCCAGAATAGAGCCAGCAGAGGTACAGTACTCTTGAGATCTTAACAGGAAAAAGGTATAGAATAAAATATAGTGATAATCTAGATGAATGTTAGTGATTATCCAAAAATACATAATCTAGACCTTCAGTGAGATGGCGATGTGTGAGCTGATAATGTTAAATTTTTTATCGATTATCTACTTTCACGGAATACTTAAGGAGCAAGTCTGTAACGCTTTCCATTTGGATGCTTTGGGAGATTTCTCTTGCTTCTAGATAAATGATAAATTAAGTCACGCTAGGAAGAGAAGGTGAATGTTGGTTCTTTTGCTTAGTGGCATTCAAATTCTCATGTTCTTCCTTGCCTTATAACTCCAGTGTGACATTGGCTGCCCGCAAACATCATCTTCCTTCCTGTCTTGGCCAATTCCCCCAGATTTTTGAGGGGGGGGCTATATTCCATGCAGGCATTCCATCTGTGTTGCATTACTCAATAGGTAGCTGCCAGGGCTATAAAGGGGCCGGACTCTGGCCTCCAGGACTGCCTGCAGTTACAGGTTTACCAACAGTTTGTGTGTTGGGGGAATGTGCTCCTCCTTTTCAGTTCATTGGCGGCTTCCAAGTGTAGGCAGTTTGTAGAAATTGTCTCCAACATAGTCACTGACTGGAAAAGTATTCAGGGATATTGAAGCCACGTTTGTATTATTCGTGTATTTGTTGATGTGCAGTATATTTGGGGATATCTTCTTTCTGTAGGCTGAGCTCTTATTTGGTGCTCTAAATGCAATTCAAGTCTGCTTCTGGCATAATAATGTAGATTTGGGGATTAAAGTCTGACTTCCTTAAAATAGGTCGGATGAGAAAAACACAAATTGCCAATATCCAGGGTGGTGCCATTTCAATAGATGGGTTCACTTTAATTATTAGCTTTTCCTGGAATCCTTTATTTATGCAGTACCAGATAGGGGGTATTTTTCAACAGTCTTGTTGTGTTCTTGCAGGCTGGCAGGCTTCCAGAGCAGACTCGTTGCTGTTTCTTTTGTGTTTGAACGAAGCTGTGCCTCTAAATGATCAGCGGCACCTAAAGAATCAAGTCCTAATAATTACAATAATGGTAGGCTTTGCTTTCCCATCCCATTTTCCTCTGCAGGTGTTCAGTAACAGAGCTCAGTGTGCAGCATCCCCAAAGTTCAACCTGAGGATTTTGCTTCTGCCTTTCACTCTACAGATGACATACCCGGAACAGCAGCAGTTACAATCGCTGTCTCCTCCCTCTATTTGCAGGCTTATCACAACGCTCTCCGATTCTTAAGTCGCTGCGAACAAGAAGTCTTTGGAGACTGAGTTACCCTAAGTGCAGAAGGAGCGGGAAAGGAGGACTTGGTGCCAATGCAGCAGCAAAAAAGACAACCAGAGTTAGTGGAAGGGAAACTTCCCGTCTTTGTGTTTCCTACCGAACTCATATTTTATGCCGATGACCAGGCGACGCACAAACAGGTGTTGACTCTCTACAATCCCTATGAGTTTGCCTTAAAATTCAAAGGTGGGTGTTGAAGCCTTGCTGGGGTGGGGTGGGGGGTGGAGAATGGGACGGGACCAAATTGTACTGAATGTTTAAGTTATAGAATGTAGGAGAAGGGTAGAGAGTATGAATCGCCACTTAAGATCAGGGCATGTATCCAGAAGTGGGTTTCAGCAGGTTCAGACCAGTTCTGGCAAACCAGTAGAGGAAATTTTGAGAGTTCGGAGAACTGGTAAATATCATCTCTGACTGGCCCCGCCCCCATCTATTCTCTGCCTCCCAAGTCCCAGCTGATCGGAAGGAAATGGGGATTTTGCAGTAACCTTTCCCTGGAGTGGGGAGGGAATGGAGATTTTACAGTATCCTTCCCCTGCCACGCCCACCAAGCCACGCCCACAGAACCGGTAGTAAAAAAAAATTGAAACCCACCACTGCATGTATCTGAATCTTTTGATTGCTGTTACGGCCTTTTGCTAACCGTTTCCTTTCATTGCAGTTCTCTGTACAACTCCAAATAAATATGTCGTGGTGGATGCGGCTGGTGCAGTGAAGCCTCAGTGCTGCATTGATATGTATGTAAACATTGTTTCTTGGCTTGCTGCGTAGTAGCTAGCAATCGCCAAGCCCCTTCCCCACACTTCTTTAGTCTCAATGCTTACTGGCGCTTGTCCCGATAAATAAAAGTTATAGTGTCAAACTCAAGGTCCGTGGCCCGGATTGGCCTGCAGGGTGCTTAGATCTAGCCTGCGGATCCGGCCCTCCTTTATTGCTGGCAGAAAGTTGTAAGAAGCTGTCGCAGCTGAAAACGGAACTCGGGAGCCCATTTTCACTGGCAGAGTGATCGGGCCACCACAGGTGCCCCCGACATGAATGACATCAAGCTGGCCTGCCTCCCCCCTCCCCCCCGAGGTCAAACAACTCTGATGCGGCCCTCAATGAAATAGAGTTTGACACCCCTGTTGTCAGGTTTCGATGCTATCTCAAAATAAATGAATTTCCAAATTGCTGATCTTTAAGGAAATTTTCTGTTTATTGAGCATAGTGATCTGTCCCTGGCTCTTTCGACGTCAGCACTGACCTTGGCCCCCCAAGCCCTCCCTTTCTGATCCCCAATTCTCTGCGTCTCATTGGCTATCTTCCAAGCCACTCTCCTCATCCCATCTCCGTCAGATCATAGGAATGTCCCCCCCCCTTCCCATCTCCGAGGAGACAGAATCTTCAAAGGAATTAAGTAGGCAAAAGTTCAAGCTTCTCCTCTCCTTTTCATATGTCAGCGCTGGAACGCTGACACCTGTAATAGAGCAATCCCTTGGGGTCTTGTGGGTAGAAATTGTTCACATCCTTGTCCCAGACACTTTAGCTCCTACAAAATCTTATGAACGGTGGTGGCGGAGCATATTTCTCCTCTCCTCTCCTCTATCCTCCCCCCCCTCTCTCTCTCTGTGGGGAATCGGCCTGTAACAACCACGAGTTTTTCTCCTCACCCCCTTTTGCAGAGTGATTCGTCACCGAGATGTCCGACCTTGCCATTATGGAGTGATCGATAAGTTCCGGCTCCAGGTCTCTGAGCAAAGCCAGAGGAAAGCCCTGGGAAGGAAGGAAGTGATTGCTACTCTGCTCCCCACCGCAAAAGAGCAGCAGCAGAAGGAAGAGGAAGAGAAGAGGCTGAAGGAGCATCTGGCCGAAAGTGTATTTCTGGAGCAGACTCTGTGTCCGCCGGGTAAAGGAGCCCACCGCATCATTACCTCAACCAAAGGGAGTTTTTGCCTCCCCTGCATGGCTTCTGTCGCCCCATTGAGCAGTGAAAATGTCTGTGCTAAGATGCCATGACGTGGTATGCAGCCCACTTGGAGACCCAAGGTGCACTCAAGGGCTCTTGGGGACATGTCACGTCCATCATGAAGGGGCTTTTATGGAAGTGGGCCAGTTGTTTCTGATAAACTCACAATCAAAAAAGAAAGGCAGTTTCTTTAACGTAAACACACCCTTTTTTTGGGTGCACTAGTTGGGCACAATGCCAAATTAGATGACCCATGGTAACACGGGTGTCCAACCTTAGCCACTTTTAAGATTTGTGGACTTCAGTTCTCAGAATTTGCTGGTTGGGGAATTCTGGGAAGTGAAGTCCACAAGTCATAGAGGGGCCATGATTGGACACCCCTGATATAACAGGACAACAATAGTAGGTGTGGAATACAATGTATAAATGTTTTTGCTGTTGGAGTAGCAGTCATGGGCATGAAGATGCAATAGAGATTAAAAGGAAGAAAGCTGGACTGCTACGAGATTCTGTAATCCTGATTTTTTTTTTTTCTCTTTGTTTTTTTTCCTCTTTTCCCCAGAAAATAGAATTGCCTCATCGGGGCCTAGTTTACTCACCGTCTTCGTGGGAATCCTGTGCATTGCTGCTCTTATGCTTCCCACATTGGGAGAATTGGATTCCCTGGTGCCTCTCTACCTCCACTTGAGCGTGAATCAGAAGTTAGTTGCTGCTTATGTATTAGGTATGCGGCTCCTTCTTGCTTTTACGCAGGTTACGGGATATGTGCAGCGTTCCTGATTTGTGGGAGAAATGCCATGCAAAAAAGCCAAGATACAAAATTCCCAAGATAAGATAGAGAGTCTTCGACTTACAACCCACAATTGAGCCCCGGGTTTTGGTTGTTAAGTGGGTCACTGACTCGATTTTATGGCCGTTGTTACGCCAGAGGTTAAAAAATAAATCGCGTGGTCATCAAACAAATCCAGCATATCCAATGAGCGCTTTTTGGGTGAAAAGTCACAAATCGCAATCGTGACCGCTGGATGGTGCAGCCAATCATCAGTGGGATCCTATTGTCAAGTTCTCAAATGCAATCACGTAATTGAGGTGGGGAGGGTTTGTGGGGGGGGGGAGGCACAGCAGTGGTAAGTTCAAGGACCGGTCGTAACTCTTGAGTCCATCATAACTTCGAATGATCATTAAACAACCAGTTGTTAAGGGAGAACTATTGTCAATGTTGATATATGGGTCACTTTGTGCCAAATTTCCATAAATATAAATATTGCTTATAATGTAAATAATAATAATATTTACATATTATTAAATATGTAATATTTATATATTACATTTACATATTACAATGTAAATTTAAGCTACAGTTGACCAACATTTCCTTCTTTTTTATAGGTCTCATCACCATGGTTATCCTAAGAACATGAGTGATATTTTAATGGGATGCGGAAAGTCTTTTTTTAAAGAAGGTGTTATAAATTCACGTCATGAATGTGAATTGCCTTTGACTCGCATTGGGCTCCTTGAGATGCTATGGAAAAACCTATTCAGTGATTTACAGTATGGGGTTTTTTTTCCTTAAAAGAAAAAAGCAATGTTTTAACTATGTTTAACCGAAACGATTCAAGCCTTTGGCTACGCTTCTGTTACGGAACAGCTCTAAAACGCTCAGCGATGAAACGAATTCGGAGCGAATTTTTATCTTTGCATCCACCAGGCGGAATTCTTTTAACGCAAGAAACGTTCCTGTTGCTTTTTTTAAAATAATAATAATAATAATCCAACTTGCCCACCTGTTGTTAGATCGTCATGAACCTCCCCCCAGCAGACGCGCCTCCAATGTTAATTCGTCTTCTCCTCTCGTGTCTTGTGTTGCCATTCGTGCGAAGTGACTTTTTGTGTAGCGCTGCCAGTTCTCCAAGATGGCAGGTGGTTATTCGGAACGGATTACCTGAACGGTGAACATTTGAATAAAAGGCGGGGGCAGGAGGCATTGTGTTTACATAGCAATCTAGTTTGCTGACAGATCCTTCACCGGGGCAAGAAAACGGGACTGCGCTAGCCATTTCTGTCCAGTAGTTCCGTGGCCTCCCGTTCCTTGCCATTTGGGCTCACCCAGCTCATTTTTTGGCCAAGGTGTTTTTAACCCACCGCCGGGGTGGGATGCAGACTAACATTCCCTTAACTGGTGCCGCCGACCTCATTACGCATCCAAACTTAAGACAGTGCTTCTGCCTCCTCCTTCCTCCTCCCCTCTTTGCGTGCAAGATGTGCTCGGTCTCTGCACAAAAAAACAAAACCCAGAAACTGACTTTGAGAATGAATGCTTCTTGCATTATTTTGTCCCTGGGAATGAGTGATTGTCCACTCGGGCGCCTTGTCTAAGGAAACACCTTGTTTTCTTTCTCGGACCTGGTGGTTCTGTTTTTAATCCCCTCCATCCTCGTCTTTTTTTCTTAAAGGTCTAATGCACTTTGACTATGTAAGGAATGTTTTTGGAGGATTAAAACCTTTGCACCCACTCTCCCATGTTGTTGTGGATTGCTTCTTTGTGTGCTTGGAAAGAACCGGTATCCTGAAAAGGATGGGGGAAATTATTATCACAGGTTAGCAGAGAAGGCTGTTCTGCCCCAGCTACGGACCACAAAGAACGCAGCACAAAGTCCGTACAAACCTTAGTTTACTAATTAAGGACTACTAATGTGCTTTCTTAGTAGTTGTTCAAACATAAGTAAAGTTTAAATCAGTCTTTTCTGAACAAGGGCTGTTCATTTAACTTCATTAACAGCCGACAAGAGTCCAAGAAATAACTCAATTCTGAGGCACAGTCTTTCAGATAACCGTAAGCTTACTGTGGTTGGCAGACTGCCCAGAAGCAATTTGCAGGAAAAATGAGAGAAGCAAGAGCCGATCAGACGTTTCTGGAGTCAATACGCGAAGGAATATGAACGAAGTTGTTTTCTGCAAATTGCCTCATTCGTCATTCCTTAAATAGGCTAAGGGAGTGGCCAATTAGCCCCAAGCCTTACTCTCGAGGAGACCTCCTCCTGAGGAGCCATTTCTGCCTTTTGGCAGCTCTGCGCGAACCAATAGCACCAGGATTTGAATCCCACTACTGGTATGAACATTTACAATGCCAGTAGTCCTCGACTTATGACCTCAATTGAGCTCAAGCACTTAAGTTAAATTTGCTTCATTTTATAACCTTTCTTGCCCCGGTTGTTAAATGAATCGCTGCAGTTAAGTTAGTAATACAGTTGTTAACATGAATCTGCTTTTCCCATTGACTTTGCTAGTCTGAAGGACGCAAAAGGGGATCAGGCTGATGACCCTGAGAACCTGCAGCCGTCAGTTGCCAAACATCTGAATTTTGATCAACGCTCAACCAGTTGAACTGCTGGTGGAGTCGAGCCTGCCCATCTGACCTTGAGCTGGCTCTGCCGTCTGAAATCGTCACAATTGTTGTTTTTTTTACCAGTCCTGGTGGTTTAGCCAGAGCAGTGAAATCTTACCCCATGTCAACACTAGATTGGAACTCCGTGTGAAATTCCTTCACATGAATTGCTCAAGAGATCAGGTTTACTCAGTGATGAAATCGGGGAGCCTGGCTATGTCATCCCGTGGTTTTGTTTACAACTCCGGGGAGGAGTTAAGGGACATTTGGTCAGCCCAGGTTTTCTTTTGCAACTGAATAAAATCTCATCTGGAGAATTTTCTGGGTTTTTTTTTTTTTTTTAACCTCTTCGGAAGTTTCTTGCAAACAGTTCCTGGAGATTGAAGCACAAGCTACACCAATCTCTACTGGATGCAAATCGGTGGCATCTTGCTACGCCTTCGAATAGGCTCATCTCAAGAAAGCAAGGTTAGCTCAATATTGGCAAAATGAAGAAATAACACGAGACGAAGAGATAATTAGGAAGATAACTGGATTGTGCAGAAATGGACAGACTTCCACTGAAGATTAAACAGAAAGAATATGCAGAATATTATCAAACATGGAACTTATTCTACCTTAATCTTAAACATGGTTGGGAAAAAGGGGTGGAGAATAAGAATGTAATCTGTACTGCTAAGGAAATAACCCTTAGCCTCCAGTCCCTTCATCATACTCACTAACATACTCACAATGTTAGACCCCTTGTTTTTGCTCGCCCCATCAAATCTACCATAGAGGGAAGGACAGCCAGCCCAATTAAATGCAAAACAAAAATGAATGCCTTTATTCTAAGAGGCTTATAACTTATATATACAATAGGTAAAAATTATTTGTAGAAAAATACATCATTAGCTAAGTCAGCTCTTTGTGGAATAGGTTCACCTTCCATTATCTTCCATAACTTCTTTTTTTTTTTTTATGCCTCCTGTTTTGAGAGGTTGGTTTTTGCAAGATGCGACATGAGGCCTTTCAGTTCCTGCCTCTCAATCTTGGCTGCTCTATCCAGATGGTCCTAGATGAAGGGATGGTGAAAGAGAAGCTTCTTAATGCTATTTACCCGAAGTGGTCACAGAAGACTCCACAAATAAGGCTAAGCTCAAGACTTAAGATTTTGGGTCGTCAGCAGAGCCCAGAATGGGAAATTCGGCCTCCGAAACGGAAGATTTAACCACTATAGGTTGAATAAATGGAGTTCTACATGAATTTCAAAATTAGAAACATGCCAGAAGAGGCTCTGCTCGCCTAGCACACTCCGCTATAACCCTTAATAGTGAACCCGACACATCATAGTTTTAAATTGGGGTATTCTAAATTTCTGGGGTTTTAATTGAGCCAAATTTATTTAATCATTTTAAATTTTAATTGCTGTTTTGTCTTGTGTTTTTAAATAGGCTGTACACCGCCCTGAGTCCTTCGGGAGAAGGGCGGTATAGAAATAAAATTATTATTATTATTATTATTATTATTATTATTATTATTATTATTATTATTATTATTATTATTATTATACATCTCTTTAACCAAGTTACAGCAGTTAAGAACAAACCAGGAAGGGGCCTATTTTAGTTCTCCCACAACATTGTAGGCTAGGGCAGAGTGTTACACACATTTTCTCCAACCCAAATTTGTGGTTGAAGAAGATGTCATGTAAACACTGTCTTAAGACCCGAGGCCCACATTTTAAATTTGGAAACTTCCATGTAGGAGATGACCAGGCTGAGCCTGAGGGTGGCGTGAAGCATGTCATTGGTCTCTAATCCCTTCGCACCCACAAGAAACCTAAGTCCAGCCCACTTTGAATTCCATTGGTTCTTATCTCCCGCCAATTTGCTAGAACCGTTAGTAGTTCAGATCCTTGTAGACAGTTTAAGTTTCCAATAAACCTTTATATTCACTTGAACTGCCTGGATTTCCCCAATTTTCCAGCGCTGGACATTCCATTAATAGCAAGCATCGGTCAAGAGGAAGCCAACCGCCAACCCACAAGTATGTAGTAGATGTTTAAGCCAATGGCTTTGTACTCTACAGGTTGGTCAAGAATCAGGATGGTTCTGCAGGTCTTAAATTTTGTCAAAGAGCAGCATGGGGAATGTGCTGGAGCAGGGGTCAGCAACCTGCGGCTCTGGAGCCGCATGTGGATCTTTCATCCCTCTGCTGCGGCTCCCTGTTGCCGGTCGGCTCCACAATTGATAGGGCTTTTGGTTAGGACAGGTAGAGGAAAAAGGACGCCGCGGTAGGGGGAGACTCTATGGTGGGGGAACTGGACTTCCAATCGGCTCCAGAATTTAATGGGGGGGGTTCCAGTTAGGACCTTTGTGGCTCTTTGAGTGTTTAAGGTTGCCGACCCCTGTTCTGGAGGCTCGGAATCAGAAGTGCAGAACAAACTCCCCAAAATACCTCCCGGGGGGTCAGGACATGAGCATGTAGGCCCATGCTAAATTATATCCCCTTCCCCTCACGGACACAAGGATGGAGAGAAATACCGTCATCTGTTTTTCTATTAAGCTTAAGTTTTCTCCAAGTTTCTTGGCTTCCTCCAGCTCCTGGTGGCCTGTAGTGTCCATCTCTTCTTTGAGTGCCTTCAGGTCCTTCCGCCATCGTTTCGATCGCTCCTTGCAGGATTTCATGGCCACCTCTGCTTCCTTGAAGTAGCAGACGTGCTTGGCTGCCACCTCCCGCCTGGCATTGGCAAGATACTGGAACAGATTGGATTCATCACGCCTCTTGAAGGGAGCCACACAAATACATTTTATCCAAAAACCCTAAACCAGTTCTAAATCCTAACAAGCCGGGTTCACACAAGTGTTCTTTTATCCATGGTTTAAATAAGCTATCATGGAATGGAATTGACCCCGCCCATCACAGGTAGTCCTTGACTTATGGCAACAATGGAGGGCAAAGTTTCTGCGGTTACGTGAGACATTGAGTTTTGCAACACGGTTGTTAATTCATTTTTATTTATTCTAAGTTGTAAGTTAAGTGAATCTGGTTTCCCCGTTCACTTTCCTTGTCAGAAGGTTGCAAAAAGGGATCACATGATCCCTGGACACTGCGACCGTCATAAATATGAACCAGTTTGCCAAGCGTCTGAATTTTGATCGTTATGATTATGTAAAGGTAAAGGTTCCCCTCACACATATGTGCTAGTCATTCCCGCCTCTAGAGGGCGGTGCTCATCTCCGTTTCTAAGCCGAAGAGCCAGCGCTGTCCGTGGTCATGTGGCCAGCATGACTCAATGCCAAAGGTGCATGGAACGCTGTTACCTTCCCACCAAAGGTGGTCCCTATTTTTCTACTTGCGTTTTTTACCTGCTTTCGAACTGCTAGGTTGGCAGAAGCTGGGACAAGGAACGGGAGCTCACCCCATTACGCGGCACTAGGGATTCGAACCACTGAACTGCCGATCTTTCGATGGACAAGTTCAGCATCTTAGCCACTGAGCCACCTCGTCCCTTATGATTATGGGGATGCTGCAAAATTTGTAACTCTGAAAAATGGTCATCAATCACCTTTTTCAGTGCCGTTGTAACTTTAAATGGTCACTAAATAAACTATTGTAAGTCCAGGATTTACCTGTGTACCAGACCCAAACCAACCACCTTAGGATGCCGCGGGATGAATGAACCACACCTGTGTATTGTTTTGTTTTCTGAAAATGTTACCGGCAAAGACGGTTACCTTCAATTTTGGCTTCAGGTGTTCTAGAATATTACGGAGCTTTTTGATGTCATTTCTAAGTCCCTTTTCAAACTCTTGGATGGAGAATGAAGCGGAGCATTTTTCCAGGTATTTCTTCCCTTCTTTGTTATTTTCCAGTTGCCGGGCCTTGGATTCTATTCCCAGGAGTTGCTCTTCCAGACCGCAAAGATCCTGGGAAATATTCTGTATGGGAATACAACTTTTTGTATTACTTCAGGTATGTTTGCGATGTTACGACAAACAGCAGTGATCACACAGGGGTCATTTGTCAACCCTTCCGCCTTGGTGTTACTGGAGCCCGTCATTCACACACATTTCGAGGAAGCCACACACCACCATGGGGTGTGAAATGACAGATAGGAAGATAAGGAAAAGAACAAAATCGAAATTGAAGTGGGTGATTGTCACTGCGTTTTTGTATTTACCAGCTGAGCTCATATTTCTGGACTATCAGACTTTCCGTAGCTTGCCAAAATTTCTTATCAGTAAGCTAACTACGCATGTCCGCATTCCTTTCTTTCTACTTCACACTTTCTTTGTTCTCCTGCCAAGAAGTCCGACCACAGAGAGGTGGCCGGCAGGAACGTTGCCAAAATGTAATTATTTAAATTAGTAAGATTTTTTATTTTCTTTATAACAAATAAATGAGTTTATTCTTAGAAAAAATATCTCCGGGTTTATTTTCTTGCAAAAGTATGCTTCAAGGGAAAAGCCTCGATCCACGTCTCTAAATCAAGGTGCCATTACCCAAAAGCAGAATGGGATTAATTAGCGCCCTGACAGTGATGAATAACAAGAGTTGAAAGGGAACTTCGAGGTCTTCTAGTCCAACCCTCTGCTAAAGCAGGAGACCTTACGCCATTTCAGACAAATGGTTGTCCAGTCTCTTCTTCAAAACCTCCAGTGATGGAGCCCCCACAACTTCAGGAGAATCCCACATTGAGGCACCTCTCCCTCTGCTAACCACTGCTTGTTGTACATGCTACAATTATGTAGGTTCACACAACATAGTCAGCCAAAATCCAAAGCAGGCCACATCCCACCCAAACCTGGATTTTATGTTTCAGACTCTAAAAGCAATAAAAAAAATTACTTAAGATTATGAAGAACCTCATCGACGGATTAGTCACGGATCCTCCCAATTCCTTTCTAGCATAGGGACCTCCAACTTTCTCCCCTCCCCTTCAGGACAAAAATGAGAAGGGGAGGGGTGAACTATCCATCCTCCCTCTCTCCTCTTTTGGAAGATTACCTCCAGGAAGATGTCCAACCTCTGTCTCAGGGCTGGGATGTCCAGCTGCTTGAATTCGGTCCCGTAGTGTTCGGATTTCTTCAGACTCTGAATCTCAATCAGCAGCTTGAGTTGCTTCAAGTTCTCATCCAACAGATCAGTGGTGAATTTGGAGATGCTGACATAGTATTCTTTACACTCCCGGTACCATTCGGCGAAGTAGTACTTGTGGGAAGAAGTAAAACACACAAACACACATCCAGTCAACCGTTCCCACATCACACAAAGCCAACCTTGAGGGACCAAGGAGACACCACACTTTATATTTTCAGGACAGGAGTGGTTGACTCAAAAGACATTTCACAGATTGGGCAGCTAGTACTTTGGTAGGATATGAAGTTTATATTAAGGATTGTATTTCAATCTTCATCTTTCTGGATTAAAAGGATTGGAAAGGCTGCTATTAAGTTTCTGCAAGTATGCGTTAGGAGTGCAGGTATACATCTAAAAGTCCTGGCAGCTCTCAGTCTGTGGTTCTGTATCATGGCAAGCTTTCTTTTAACAATGGTTTGTCAAAGAAGCCATACTTGACCCCATTAGTGAAATCATAGTTTATAAACCACAGGAGAGAGTATATTTTAAGGCAGGGAGCTCCAGTCTTGGCAACTTTAAGATTTGTGGACTTCGACTCCCAGAAATGGAGTCTTGTTGAAGTCCACAACTCGTTAAGTTGTCACTGTTGGACACCCCTGCTTTGAAATGAGTAACATACGCACTAAACTAATAAAGCACGGGAAGTCACTGCCACAACAATCGGCAATAACAATCAACTTGGGCTCTTTTCAATAAGGTGAGACATTTCACAAAAGATTAAATAGAATGTGTATATATATGTATATATATATATCTATAAAAGCGAAATACCACTCACGCATCATCACAAAATCTCCAGAACTGTAAAGCCTACAAACCTGAAATTTGCCGCGTATGTTCCTCTTGGCTTCTAGGTGCTCACTAAGAAAGGATTTCTCAAAATGACCATCAGAGTGTTTCCTATATTATGATTAACACTCTCTGATGCTAAGGAGTTCTACTCCCCCTCCCCACCTGAAAAGAAATCTGTTCCAAATGCAAAACACAAGCAGAGGAGAGGGGTTTCAGTTTCAGTTTTACTTTTAGACACAAGGCCATCAGCTAGGATCCTGAGAAGGCCAATAAATCTGGTGAACAACGAACTGGAAAAGGAAGAAAATGAAAATGCCACTGTAGAAAAAAGAGTCCTTCTGTTTCCATCACTAATGGACAGAATTAAGGCATGGACCATCAACAGAAAGGTCCTCTTTTCCTGCACAATGCCCAGAGCTTCAGTGGACAATACCTCAATATCAATCAGCACGGAGTAAAGTTCTTCAGTTGCCTGCTCAAAATACCCTTGAAGTTTGAGAACGTTGGCCGTCTGAACATGAGGGAGACCAGAAAGTCCTTCAGCGGCCACAGATTTCATGCTCTCCAGATCCCCCTTCAAGTTGAGAGCCAGGAGGGCGATATTGTCTCTTTTCTTCTCCATTACGGGAAGTTTACTTAACACCATCTGAAACAAGGGGGTGGGGGAGGGTATAGACTCACTAGGACAGAGGTCTCCAACCTTGGCAACTTTAAGACTTGTGGACTTCAACTCCCAGAGTTTCTCAGCCAGCTTTGCAAGTCTTAAAGTTGCCAAGGTTGGAGACCCCTGCATTAGGAGAACCAGTTGTCTCTCCAAGTGGCCGGCTAAATCCAAAAACTTTAGACCTTTTCAATCCTTCAACTAAGGGAGGCAGCCCTAGTTGGTCACCCAGAGACAAAAGTTTGATTTCAGAGGATTTACTGCTAGCTGCTTTTTTCTATTCTTTGACATTTTATTAATCCCACCCCCCCATTAGGCCCATGATTAGAAAAGCAGCTGAAAGAAGAGCGAAATAAATATTTGAAAGGTTTGAGTTTCAGAAATGCCATTTCAAGGAGGGGGGGAAATATCCCATTCAATAGGATATGGGAATTTTGCTTTAATATTCTATTATCTAGAACAGGGGTCTACAGTTGGCAACTTTAAGACTTGTGGATTTCAATCCCTGAGAATTGAAGTCCACAAGTTTCAACTCTGGGAATTGAAGTCCACAAGTTTGGAGAGCCCTGATCTAGAATTAGAGGAAAAGATAACGTTTCTCCAAAATTCTTCTGCATGCCCATAATTTCCTCCTACCTTCTCAGTGAATGTAATCAATAACCGGCGAAGATGGTCATTCTCCATCCTCAGGCTGAAGATGGTTTGCCAGAAGTCCATCACCCTTCTTCTGTGATAGGAGTTGTCCAGCATTACTTCTTGAAGATTTGTCTGTAGTCTCTTGTTTTCAATGACCAGCTCCTCCTCCTCCTCAGTTATTTGGTGGGCTTGTTCTGCTGTCACCGTCTTCACCTACCGAGACAAGATTCCAGAAGGCAGCAAACAGGTGTAGCCTCTACAGTACTTCCTACTTAGGGTGGGTGTGCTTAGTGAAAGTGGTGAAAATGTAGGACAGCATGGCAAAAATGGAACAATGAAAACATGGCAAAAATGAACTAAACGAGGGGGGCAACCTGTTCTCCAAAGTCCAAACCACCTGAAGGCAGAACAAGAAGCAATGGATGGAAACTAATCAAGGAGAGAAGCAACCTAAAACTAAGGAGAAATTTCCTGACAGTGGAACAACTTGTCTCCAGAACTTGTCTCTTCAGATGTTTGCTGCTCAAGAGTAAGGTCAACTTCATTAGGAACATCTGGCTAGATTTGCATTTGATACCAAACCACAACTGACAAATGATTCATCAAATAAGCCGAGCTGGAAGGATTCGACATTAAACCAGAACCAAACATACCCCGTTATGGTTGAGGGAAACAGAAGAAAATAGCCAAAGAGTCAAGAAGTGGAATGGTTGAAGGCATCTACTGCTGGAGCTGGTCAACTCAAAGTAGTTGAGAGACATCCAAGTCAAAGTAATGTTTTCCAAGCACTGCAGCATAAGACCTCCAGTGAAGACATTTTACAACAGGGCTTTTTGACCTTGGCAACGTGATGATGGGTGAACTTCAACTCCCATGATTCCCCCCCTGGAGAATTCTGGGAGTTGAAGTCTACCCACCTTCAAGTTGTGCTGTACAGTTTTGTAAACCCATCATATCTACTCTGAAACCTACCTACAATGTTCTTACCTTTTCACCCAGGTCAGCCATTGGTGAAGCCATCATTTCCTGACCCTTTGGAGAGTGAGGTCCCTTAGCCAAGAGAGACTCCTTGGCTTCCTTTAAGATTTCACAGCAACCTTTGGATGACTCAGCAGTAGCTCTCACGTGATCCTGCAGTTCCAGGTTCTTTAACAACCCAAACAGAGAAACATGAAGGCATCAGTCATTCCCACCTTTCTTCCCATCCAATGTTAAGATGGGGTTATTAAAAAATATACGTATTTCGTTACTCACTGCAGCAACCGTTTTCTCGATAGTCTTGTAAAGACCATGCATGGTACTATTCAGAGTGTCTCTCTCGGCCTGAAGGTCCTCAACCAAGATTTTCAGGGAATCTTTTTCCTTGGAAACAGCCTTCAGATCTTCTTGGATGGTTTGGATTTTCTGGAGCAAGTCAGTTTTCTCTTGCTCCAAAGCCTCAATTTTCATCTTCAGTTCCTCCATGTTGTCTCAATCCTTCCAGGTTTCTTCTGTCAAGTCAAGAAAACCGGGAGAGGTCCGGGAACTTCTCCAATTGTTCAACTGGAGATTTTATTTTAGGAAGAAACAGGTCAAATCCATTGGGTACACTTTTGGGATAAACATTCCAGAATTGTTTCATTTGATAACTAAAAGTGTCTCTTGATGATAAAGAAATCCCCAAGAGGAACATTGTCTCTACCAGGGACATAGAAGACACTCTTAGGCCAACCATAGTTTCTCATTACCTTCCCCTCACAAAGGTTATAGTCTTTCTCCAGCCCAACATCTACTAGTATATTTTGTACACTGGGATTACAATCATCGACTTCACAGATGTCTATGGAGATTCTCAATCATCCAGGTCATAGTTGCCCCAAAGACGCTTTTCCAAAAGGGCTTTCTTGTTTTTTTTCCTTGAAAACGTTCCACTTCTCATCCAAGAAATTTCAGTTCTGAATTCTGTAGAAGCTTCTTGGATGAGAAGCAAAACATTTTCAAGGAAAAAACAACCCCAAGAAAGTCCGTTGCTTTTGTAGGGGACAGCTGCCTTACAGCATTCTAGGAACCTTCATGGAATATAGTTTTATACCTGAAATCAGTGGTGGAATTCAATTTTTTTTTACTACCGGTTCTGTGGGCGTGGCTTGGTGGGCATGGCAGGGGAAGGATACTGCAAAATCCCCATTCCCACCCCACTCCTGGAGGAAGGATATTGCAAAATCTCCATTCCCACCCCACTCCTGGGGGAAGGATACTGCAAAATCTCCATTCCCACCCCACTCTGGGGCCAGCCAGAGGTGGTATTTGCCGGTTCTCCTAACTACTCAGAATTTCCACTACCGGCTTTCCAGAACCTGTCAGAACCTGCTGGATTTTACCCCTGCTAGGCCTCCATAACAATTTATTTAATTTTAACTGGGTGTGTCATCTTAAGCAAAGTCTTAACAAAACATGGTTTACAGTTGAAAGTTGCACAGACCCACTTAATTATAATATATATATATATTAAAAATGCTTCAAACATATCTTGGCACCATCTGTAGACAAACACCTTCAAGAAGAAATAAAAAGCACAGTGAGGTAGGAGGTCAGTCACCAATTCCACCACTAACCCAAATATAGTTTCTCTGAAAGGTTTTTGGCAACTTTGTGGAAAATGAAGATTGTGAGATCCGTTTTTTTTTTACTTACCAGCTTAATAAAGAAACACCTGCTCCAATTTTACAGGATAAATCCACCCCAAATGTCTCTTTCCTTCCTTCCCATCTCTGGCTGCCTAAGGACCCAATTTATACCACTAACTTTTTTTTGTGGGAGGTCCCGAGAAGGACACAGGTGGAGAGAATGATGGGCTTGGATGATTTGACAAGGAGTGAACAAATTCTCCTTCCTGAATCTTTTAAGGAATGGCTTTGGGGAAAACTTGTGATGGATCCCTTTTGGAAAATACAGTGTTTTCTATACACCAGAGGACAAAGCATTATGTGCAACTGTAGCAGAGACTTTGTGATATTTGACAGTAACATTTTATAACTGCAGGGGGAATTTATAAGTCATTCAGACGCTGACAATTGTAATATATAAATAGGTTTTCCTTTTATCTTTTGGGGGAGTTTCTTCCCTCCTCCTTTGCTTTCCCTATTTATTAGGATGTGCTAATCCTATTTTTTTTCCTTTATCGTTTAACAAAATTGAAGATTTTTAATTGCGGGTGTTTTCTGCCCCCCCCTTTTTATTCGTGCAAGTTCTAAATAAAAGTTTGGAAAAAAGGGACAAACCACAGTTTAGCCATGGTTAAGCCCAGGCATTGTGTGTTCATCTATGTTGTCAGGCTTCCTTCCCTATGATTTGATGGAGATGTGACCCAGAAGACGAAGCCTGCTCCTGAGCTACTGTACACGTGTGAACCAAGTCCCTGTGGTCATGACTTGGGACCCAGGTGCGAATCCGGCCCTTTTCCCTTTCCAGGTAGGCTACCTGCCGTTCTTCTTCTATTGAGCCGCACCGCTTTCGCGGACAAACGACAAGCGGACCCTTCAACTCGAAGCATTTTTTTTTTTAAGTTGGGGGAGACCCGCACTAAAGCCCAAAAACGCCGTAGGGCAGGATTCGAACCGGCCACCTAGAGCGGGCTAAAAAGAAGAAGAAGCGGGGTGGGGGGGGAATAGACCAAAGAACGTTCCCGGACCGCTCTCGTTTAAAGCGCTCCTCTGATTGGCTAGTCGGAACAGAGCGAGGCCACAAAGTAACCCGCAGCGCAGCGAATCAGCGCCTCCCCTGGCGGCTCGGCCAAGCGTGATTCGTCGTTCTTTCTTTTTTTACAGCTCCACCCACCCCACCCCGCAGGGGAGGGGAGGGGAGGGGGTCAGAGCATCCCGAGCGCCCGTCACGCATGCGCAGAAGCTCCGAGCGGCCTACTCTCCTTCGCTTCCCCTTTCCCCCCCCCGACCGCTACTGCCACCGCCTTGGCAACCGCCGCCACCGCGCAGGCGCGGGCAGGCGGGCGGGTGCGCGCGCAGCCCCCTCTCCTTTTCCCTCAGAGAGCCGCCGGGCGGGCCAGGCCGGGCCGCGGCCACGAAGAGGCAGGGCGCCGCCGCTGCCGCCCCGCGATTCCCTCGGCATGGGGCGCCGCCGGCGCCGGGGCTGCCGAATCCCGCTGCACCGCCCCGGCCTGTAGCCGGGGGAGGCGGCCTGAGGCCTCCGTCGAGCCCCGCCGCCGCGCCCCGCCGTCCCGCCGGGCATGAGCCGGGCAAGCGGCCTTCCTCCTCGCTGAGCGCCGCCCTCGCCATGGCCCAGGCCGAGAAGATGGAGCTGGACCTGGAGCTGCCTCCGGCCGGGAGCGACGGCGGCGGCCTGAGGCGCTCCAACAGCGCGCCGCTCATCCACGGCCTCAGGTGACTGCAGGGCCCATCCGCCACCGCCGCCCTGCGGGGTGGTGGTGGTGGGGGGGAAGGGCAGAGCCGGGCAGGATGGGCTCTGCAGTCCAGGCGGAGGAGAAGAAGAACGCTCGCCCCGGCCGCCCTCTTCGCTGAGGGGTCGGACTACAACACCCATGCTTCCCAGCCGTGCCGGGTTGAGGCAGGATGGGCTTTTTTTCCCCCTCCTCCTCCTTTCAAAGGGCGCCAGGTTGGAGAAAGCAGGTCTGGAAGCGCCCTCCCTTCCCCCTCTTAAATGGGGTTGTATCTGTCCAGATGTTTGAAAAAGGTGGATTTATTTGAGTTTGTGGGGTCCCTTTTAAGGCAGGGGTGGGCAACTGTGGCCCTTTTACAACCTGTGGACTTCCAACTCCCAGAAGTCCTTTTTTTAAAAAAAAAAATTAGATCTTTATTAATTATTTACAAATAAAAAAACATATAATGTAATTTTCAGACAGATATCAGTTATATATAGGTACACAACACAACACATAAAGACAACCACAAAGAAGGACTAACCGGGGGTCGTATCGAACCCCCCCAGATACTTATTAATAGTTACATCCCAGTAGATCCTTTTGTTCAAATAGCGTTGACTATTTTAAATACCAAATGCTATCTCATTATAATTAAGTGTATATTTAATACTATATTACTATATATATATAGTAATATATATATATAAAACTATAATACTATATTTATTCTATGTTTGTCCTCTTCTTTAGCCATATATACCAGCGTTCCCAGTTACTGTAGTATATGGATTCTTTTTTGTCTCTTAGGATATACGTTAATTTGTCCAATTCGGCACAATTCAATATCTTATTTATTATAGATTGATCTGATGGTGTATTTGCATTTTTCCAATGCTTGGCAAGTGCCATTCTCGCTGCTGTTGTAATATGGATGAATAGGTGCCGGTCTTGTTTGCCCACGTCTTTTAGTTTGGCTCAGAAATTCTGGGAGTTGAAGTCCACAGGTCATAAAGGGGCCATATTTGCCCACCCCTGCCTTAAAGGGTCTCTGGGACCCCCAGAACACACAGGAAGGGCCTCTCTGGATTGAGGAGACCTCCAGGTTTTGTGGGGGTGGGGGTGGCAGGTGGTGGTTGTTTTTCTCAGGAAAACAACCTTGTAAGAGTGCCGAGAAGGATGAAAAATCGATATAAATCTGTAATTCCCTTTTTTATTATTATTTTGGGTCAGCAGTCGCTAAACTTTTTTTTTTTTTTTTGGCCATTGCCCCATCCCTTTCATGCACCACCCGCCCTCAAAATTCAGCCAAGTAATTATTTAATATTATTGATTGATTGATTCAATTTATATGCCATTCATACTTTGGTATATATCTGCTTAGTAGGGCTTTTGGCCCCCCCTAAGCGGTGTTCTTTTTTATACAAAGTCAGTTTATTGCCCCCACAATCCGGGTCCTCATTTTACCTACCTCAGAAGGATGGAAGGCTGAGTCAACCTTGAGCCTGGTGAGATTTGAACTTGCAGTAAATGCAGACAGCTGGCGCTACTTAACAGTACTTTAGTCTGCTGCACCACCAAGGCTCTATTACATATATTGACAGCAGCCCGCATAGTCTATGCGCAAAATTGGAAGAAGGAAAATTTGCCATCAGAAGAAGATTTAATTAGAAAAATTTTAGAATGCGCAGAGATGGACAAATTAACAAAAGAACTCAAGGAGAAAGAGGATACAGAATATTACACAGTGTGATGTAGGTGGTATGAATGGTTGGAGAATAGGAAAAATGAGAAAGGAATAAAGGAGAGAGGGGAGAAAAAATGTTGAAGATCAACTTCCAATGTAGAAGAAATAAAGAAAGATGGAAAATAATTGTTGAATAAAACAGTTAAAATATGTGTAAATAGATGTAAATAGCAAGAAAGGATCACTTCGAAATAGCTGTAGGAAAAAGTGATATGTATATAAATGTTGTGTGTTTGTGTCTTGTTTTAATGTATTCAAAATAAAAAACTTTTTAAAACAAAATTCAGCCAAGTGAAAAGGATGCAATGACGTTTTAGAAAAAGTGGATTCATGGTGACAACTCAAGGAAAAGAGGGGGGGGTTTCCCCCCACACCTTGCCAAAGAAGTACAGCTGGGAAACCTCCAAAGAGTAATAAAAGATTAAAAAAAAACCAATAATGATGATAATGTATAATTAAAGCAACAAGGTTTATAATAATGTGGCACGTTGAGATGGCCTAGCTTGGTCTAGATCAGTGTTTCTTCACAACTTTGAGAGATGTGGATTTCAACTTGAAGAATTCCCCAGCTGGAGTGACCTAGATTTGCAATGGAAGTTATCAAGATGTGAATCTTTCCCTCCTGGTGCAGAAACACAAAATTAACCAATTCTTTGGGTATCTGCTCAAGGGTTAGGGAAAGGCAGTAATGGGAATATAACGTACGCATTTATGGCACTGGCAATTGATATGGCACCCTGCAGAAACAGTTCTAGCCAAAAGGACAAGTGTCTTCCTTTGCAGCACTTAAGGTGTGTAGTAGAAAAAGGCCACAGACTGAAAAAGGATGGAAGGTAGATTAATGGTGAAAAACAAAGGGGTGGAAAAACCGTTGCAGAGTTGTAACAATTCTGCTTTATTTCTTTCCAGTGATAATTCGCAGGTTTTTCAGCCTTATGTCTTACGAACCCGCAGGAACAGCACAACAGTTATGAACCGGCATAGCATGGTGAGTGTTTGGGAGGCACAGAAAGATTTTGGACTTTATACATTGGGAAGGTGATTGGAATTGAAGGACCCCATATGTCAAGGCAAGAGAAGATCATGCTGAAGGCCGAGCTTTAGTGACTGGTATGGGTTGATCCCCTAAGAGGCAGCAGCTAGGTAATGCAAGGGTCAGCTTTGCAGATGGGAGTCCCCTGGAAGTCTACTGTAAGGAGGAATTAGGTTGCAGAAGGGATGGGGATGGAGCCAGGGCAGCAGGCTGGTTTTGGCATAAGAATAACAATCTCTCAATCTTCCTGGAGACCGAGAAATTGGCCTGTGGATGTATTTTTGAATGTGCACATACAAGCACTGGGAAACGCAGGATGGGCAAACATATAATCCTCTTGATTTCACATGTCCAGGACCTAGAATGAAGTTGTCGGCTACATCCTCAGCAGGTGCCCTTCCCAAAGGCTGAGAAATCCAGAGTCTGCAATTTATTTCAGGCTTTTGGTTGGGTTCAACAGCATCAAAAATGCCCCTCTGGATTTTAAAACACATAGTTAACTCTGCAGTTGTGGTTTGCTCTGCCAAAACAAGTTGTGTTGCCTGTTTTGGCAAAAAGCGTTTGAGTTAATGCCCTTTCTTAGCAGTTAAAATACACAGAGCAATAGGCTTTAGTTTGTCATGCATTGGTCATTTTGGAATGTGGGTATTGGCGTGGTTCTGCATGACGGAAGCTGTTAATTCTTCTGCCTTCCAAGGAGAATGAGTATTCCTTCAGTGCTATAAAACGAGGAGGTTTCAGAGCCGCCTACCTTGAAGCACAGGCTGCGTGGTGGTATGCTTCTCCAACATGAAAATAATGCTCCTGAAAGGAAGGAGGTTTTGTTTTGCTTGTGCTTTTTATTTTTGCTGGCTTTTGAAATTAATGTCTTTTTTTTTTTTTTTGCAGCTGATATCATCATCTCCGATCCGTATCCCTAGTAGTCGACTCCATCAGATCAGAAGGGTAAGTGAATAAAACAGGTTTCTTTCTTCCATGAAAAGAATATATCTCGGGTTTCTCTGCAGATTCTTTTTTAACGAATTCAAAACATAGCTGCACGATGACATTTTTGGCAACCTAAATTGAACATCACACTTACTCCAAATGTTCTCTCTGTTAGAGCTTTCTTATGTGAAAGCACACACACCCAATCCCTTCAGACTGCAGGGATCTCCCGCCTTAGCAACTTTACAACTTGTGGGCTTCAACTTGTGAAGCTGCCAGGGCTGGAGATGCAAACACAGCTTCCAGTTTACACCTGACATTGTGACTGCAAGCAGGCAGTGCTTTGTAGAAGGAATATTCTCACACCCAAGCGATGGTTCAGCTGACCATGTTGCTCCTTTCCACTCTTAACTACACCCTATAACAAAGTGCCAGTCAATTTTAGGCAGAAAGGTACGAGCCCCTGAGACATTAATTCTTCCTCTTCCTCAGGAGGAAGGAGTGGACCTGATGAACAGAGAAACAGCCCATGAAAGGTAGGTGTGATTCAGATGCTCTCTAGAAGTGGCGCCTCTCGTCCTGCTGTGGCACTGATGACCCTTTTTGTGTTTTAGGGAAGTGCAAACAGCAATGCAGATAAGCCAGTCATGGGAAGAAAGCTTGAGCCTGGTAATCTCTTTATACAGATGTTTAATATTTTAATTCCACTCCTTCACTTAACCAGTGAACGTAAGGAGCAAGACAGGTAGCTTAAGGGGAGTGGCCGGTTCACCACTTGGCTTTTCCTTAGAACGGCTCAGCTTTTCTGGCTGCCACATGCCACGTAAACCATAAACCGAATGCTTTGTGTTCCCAGAGCGACAACGACTTGGACAAATCTGAAAAATCTTCCTCTCCAAAGAGAATAGACTTCATTCCTGTTTCTCCAGCTCCTTCACCCACCAGAGGTATAGGAAAGGTAGGTCAGAGAGATCTGGAAAAGTTCCCCTTCCCCTCATGTCCACGGATCATGCTGATGAATTTCTCATTTCTGTCTTTTCAAATCCCATGCACATTTTCTGCTTTTCCTTCCTAGCAATGCTTCTCACCGTCTCTGCAAATGTTTGTGAGCAGCAACGGATTGCCTCCGAGCCCTATTCCTAGTCCCACGAGGAGATTTTCAAAGTGAGTTGAAGTGTTTGAAGTGTCGAGGCCTTCTTAATAATAACAGTTTAGTCGTCATCAAAAGGTCCACATGACATTCCTTGAAATGAGGGTGAGGAAACTCTTTCTAGGCAGTGCAGTGGAACAACAAAGCTGCAACTCGCTGTCTTTTTCTTAAGTGTGACTACAAGTTCACAAGAACATCTTTCTCTTGTAGATGTCTCCTTTGTCAGAAAAGTTTGCAAAATGATTCATAAACAAATTATTCTGCTAGTTTTTGTTTGGTAAGTGCCAGAATGGTCTCGGGCAGTTGCCGTACCCAGTCAGCAGGTAGAACTAACAAGACAGGAATAGATAATGTAGGAAGGTAGAGGAAGGTCCAGGACGGTAGAAATCTGGAAAATCAAGCTTTGCTTTTTCAAGAATTATACTCCATCAGGTATCTAGTTTGTGAAACATAAGAAACACCTCAGTCAGGTGTAAATCTATAAACCTACTTCAGTCACATATAAATCTAGCTTTCTTTTGTAAGAATTAACAACAGTCAGGTACTTGCTTGTGAAACTTAAAGAAACGCTACATGTATCTTAACTTTAATTTCTTTCTTGGCCCCTCTACATGTCCTCTACAAGAAATCTTGTCCATTCTGTCCAGATTAGTTGCTTCCAAATGTACTACAACTCCCAGAAACCTTTGGTTACATTACTTTTTAAGGCTGGCAAAAAGTGGGGTCTTCTATTTCTGGAGTTCATACATAATTATAGTCTTAAAACAGACACTGATCTTAAAATAATTCAGGGGTGTGTTTTCCTTACAACCTTCAGAGTCTTCAAACATCCTAGAAAGATAATACTCTGACTTTGATTTTAGCAGGAGGAGTCAGAGTCCAATCAACTGTATCAGGCCCAGCGTACTTGGTCCCATTAAAAGGAAAGGTATGTAATGCTTCCAAAATATTGTCCAGTACATCAGATATTAGACAGCACAAGGATCTTCCCCCAGCTGGTCGTTGCTATATATTTAGGACAGAGAGCCTATTTGATCGATCACTTCCTGCTGATGGAGTGATCTCAATTTACAGAGACATCTGTGTGAAGTTCTTGGACACAGGCTGATATATTTGACCACAGAGAATAACCTCCCTTGTATTTCCGCGTGATGGAAGTCTATCATTCTTCTATGTTCTAAGGAGAATGCATATTCCTTCAGCGCTATAAAATAAGGAGATTTCAGGGCCACCAACCTTGGAGTAAAGGCTGAATGGTAGTATATATCTCTTACATTAAAAACACGAGTCTTGAATTTTGCTCCTGTTTTACATGGTCTCTAGCTGATTCCAGTAGGGCTGCGAAAGCAACCTTCCACAAATCTGCTCAGCAAGAAGCCGAAAAAATTTTGGATTTTGGTCTTGGATCACACAAACAAGAATTCTCAAGAGAGGGAGATGGTTGTTGACAATCTCTCTCTCGCTCCCTAAGCAGAAAATAGAAACTTGTTTATCCTTTTCTGCTTGATTAAGACGGGGGGAAAAACCCTGTAAAAGATTGGATATAAACTTGGAATGTTGTTGGAGCTTGCAGGAGAATTTCTTTGGAAAAGAAGGAAGGGTTAACCCTCCCTCCTTTTGAAAAACAGCCATGTACTCTGGGTAGTTTGCCAAGGCTTATTTTTCAGAAGGAGACTAGGAGGGACACTTCCTACCTGCTAAATGTCAAGAATAAGGCACCCTTTATGTGTTCATAGCACAATTCTCCCAGTTCGCTTTGTTCTTAACAAAGCTTTGATTTTCTGTGCTGTACTGATATTATCTCTCTCCCGTGGCAAAGCGTGTCCATCTGAAGTAGATGATGGGACAACCTCTCTTAAAAAGCTTCCTTTTCAAATTTAATAAGAACGGCTTGAATTCCCACAGGTGAAATGGAAACCGAAAGCCAGCCAAAGAGACTTTTCCAAGGAACCACGAACATGCTTTCCCCTGATGTCACCCACCTGACTGACCTCAGTTCATGGTAAATTATTTCTGCAGAAAGGTTGCTTAGAATATGCCGCCTTCTTACGAGTGGGCTGCCAAGGCAGTTGTGGCCTCTGCTCCTTACGGTTTCATACAGCGTGCGTAATTTTTATGACCCCATACTGAGAAATTCATGGATCAAGCAAGAAGAATCACCCTGAGATTTAAGAAAGGGCTACAAAGTGTTGGCCAGATGTTTGCTTCCAGGACAAAAGTTCTGAAATTCAGTCAGTGGTGTTTCTCAGGCTGAACTGGGACACCGTCTTGTCTGATCCTCTGAAAAGCTGCCACCAGTCAGCAGCTTCCATTGGGGCAAAGTGTTGATTCTTTGAAGTCCTGTCTTTTTGGTGTCCGTTATGGTACCTTAGTTTCCCACTTGGCTCCTCGAGCAAGTAGGAACGAGAAAATAAATCCGACAACTGCAGAAGTTTAGGGTTGCCAGTTGAAGAAATTTCTCTGCCTTGTGACTGGGGTGAATCACAAAACCAATCTTAAATCTGGATGGTCAGTCTATTTTGGGGCTGGGATTCCAGCATCTCCCCCCCCACCCCTGATTTTGCAGTGAAATAATTCACACCGTGAGGTTGAGGTGACCTGCTGGAGCTCCTGAATGGATTAAATGCTTCAGAAGCCGTTCAGTCAAACTTGTTTGAGCAAAGGAAAAAGTGAGTTGCGGGTGCATAAAAGAGAAAGAGAAGACAGGGTTTGTGTATGTAACATTCCGGAAAGAAGTCTAGATTGAAAAGAGAAACATCCGATTTTTTCCCTCCACCTCCTGTCAGGTCTCAACTCCGAGTAAAAGAAGAGGCAAACTTAGTATCCTTTGCAGGTGTCAAACATGAAAATCATTTGAGTGATGCTAATTAATTTAAGAGATAAATAATATTTATTTAATAATATGAGCCGCGGTGGCGCAGTGGTTAGAATGCAGTATGGCAGGCTACTTCTACTGACTGCCAGCTACCAGCAATTTGGCAGTTTGAGTCTCACCAGGCTCAAGGTTGACTCAGCCTTTCGTCCTTCCGAGGTGGGTAAAATGAGGACCCAGGTTGTTGGGGGCAAGAGGCTGACTCTATAAACCGCTTAGAGAGCGCTGGAAAGCAGTATATAAGCCTAAGTGCTATTGCTATTTAATGTAATGTTCCTTCCTCCCTCCCATTTACTTCTCCAGTAAGGGGCTGCAGGCATCCCTGACAATTACTCTCCTTCGGGATATTGTTTAAGGGCCGTTCTGCAAAAGGGCAGCTGCCCCATCCTTTTATTCAAAGTCTACTTGAATAAAACAGCATGTTTTCCCCTATTTCTTCCCAGTTTGTCTTCGGATATCCTGGATGGGAGCACCAGCAGCATCAGCTCTTCCTCCGACTCCTTGGCCAAAGGCAGCACCACCACCGAATCGCCCCTCGCATGCTCCAACTCCTGCTCTTCCTTCCTCTTGATGGACGACCTTTCACCCAAGTGACTTTTCCCAGGGCGGGGTCGACGTCTGCCCGTTCTCTGTCCTCTCGCTCTGCATACGCGCTGAGAAAATCCACAGAAAATAAATCCTCCAGGACCTGAGGATTTTAAGTACTGAGTGGAAATATGAAAGCAACTTTAATTCTTAGCAACTTCTCCGACTGGTTTTGATGATCTTTACTCTTTCAACCGACACGTCAGGCCCTTAACGATAGGTCTTTTTGGCTGTCTGGTTTTGCAGCTTTTTGTTTTTAAATCCAACCCGATATTTTACCCGTATCTGTTGAAATCATTACTATCTTTGCTTTCAAAGAAACCGCAACGCTTTTTAGAATTTTTCAAGACAAGCACCTAATTTATATTAGTGTGAAAATGGTAGGCGGGGAAGCCTTTCGCTGTTGCTATCATGGTCGTGGGTTCTGGAGGTAAAGGATGGGGGTGAGAGAATTGTTAGAAAACTGTCCTTGTTCAACGTGCTTTTTTTTTTTTTTTTAAAGAATAAGCTAGATTGCTCTAGAAATTCATTTAGGGGGAAGAAATGAACTGTTTCTGCTGGACAACGGCACATTCTGGGCCCCTTCTCCCCTCCCCTCCATTCACAATACCCCTAAAGAATTATTTCATAGTAGGAACTTCTTTATTTCTCAGTTGCATCTTCTACTTTTTCATTTCCAGAGAAGAGGAAGAGGTTGCAAAATTGCCCTTCGTGGTTGAAGCAGCAGCGGCTGCCGCCGTCGTCACCTCTGAGAACCAAAACACTTTGTGAAGGCTGGCTCCGTTGCAGCCGAGTATCCGTAGCAGACGGAGGAAGATTTAACTCACCTGCTGTTTCTGGGCTTGTACAGAGATGGCTTCCAAGGCTGCAGGGATGACCAGTTGCAAAAATATTTTTTGGGGGGGGGAGAAGGGGAAAGGGGCAATTGTTTGGGCTATCAAGTAGAATATGTCAAATAGTCGGTGTCTCCCGCGGCACTGAGCAACGTTTGTGCCTTAGGAGACCTAGTAAAAGAACGGAAGAATGTAAGCAAAGGACCTGGGTGGAGAGGAAAGGCTTTAAGGGGAGGGGGCTCGTACCAGGTGCTTCTGTCCTCCTGCTGCTCTTTGGTGGCTCCTGAGGGGCTGGAAGGGGAGAAGATCCTCCCAGCTCTTCAGGGTCAGGTTTGCCTGGAAGGCAGCAGCCACAAGGCAAGCTTAATGGCCAGAAAGGCTCCCTGTTTGTTGGGCTCGAAACACTTGTTGGTCTGTAAGGAGCTTACCTTTAAACCAGGAGGCGGGATAAACCTGTAGTAGCTTAGCTCAGTTTGGGCTACAGCAAATGGTTTATTTACTTCTTGAGATCTAACCAGGCTTAACCAACAGAAAAGAGATCCACTTGTAATCTACTGTGTTATGCTATTTATTATTTATAACTGTAAAAAAAAAAAAAGTCTGGTGTTGAATTATAGTATTTTTTTATGATTGAAACCCTTTTTTATGTTTTGTGAGTGCTGGCTAGTCTGTATTGAATAGGCAACCTTGTCTGCCAAAAAAAAAAACCCCAACCCAATGTATGCTTCCCTTTTTGAATGTTTGTGAGTATCCACACGCTCTTTTTGTCAAAATCCAAGTTTGGGGAGGGGGGTTTCTCCCCCCTGCCCTCTTTGGGTAAGATAATAGCACTGAATTTGACATGGGATTGTGCTGACCTGCAAGGCACAGGAATCTGCCAATGTTTGCCTATCTAAGAAGGGGAGGGGGAAAGACCCATAGAGAAAGACTTTCATTTTCCGTACTTTTAGCATTTTGGTTTTGAAAGTGTTTGTTTGGAATTGTAATAAGTACTACATTCGGGCAAGCTGTGCCTCCGTTATTGTGATCTCACTATGGAGAGTTAGTTTCCCCACTTCCAATAAATATTGTAAGATATTCACTGGTACCTTTCCTTTTTAAGCAGCACGAATCCTTCCGTGAACCGCGTATATGCTTCTACGGACACCTGTTGCTACTGCTTATTTGGTACTTGAAGCGTTGGGCAGGGGATTTTTATCTGTTGTCGTTTTTCTCTTCCAATACTTTTTATTGCTCTTGCTCTTCTGTTTGAAAAATAAGTTCAATGCGAAAGTCATTGTGCAGTTTTGCTGTATCTCGCATTCAAATGCCATTGTCGGCAGAAAATTCAAACTGCCTATTTTTAGTTGGTTTTTAATTCCTTTTGGTCTCTCTGGGTACTCCTCGACTTAAGGACCACTGCAACCGTCATAGAAGTGAGACAGTTGTCAAGCATCCAAATATCAGTCACATGACTGTAGAGATGCTGTAACGGTCATAAGTGTGAAAAATGATCGTAAGTCACTTTTTCAGTGCTGTTGTAACTTCGAAAGTTCATTAAGAGGACTGTTGTAAGTCAGGGACTACCTGTATTTACAAGCATCAAGTCTTGAAAACACTTTGGCTTCTACAGCTATTAGAATGTGCCTGAATGACAAAGCCAAAATACAGTGTGATCTAAATTTCAACCTTTTTTTTTTTTTCCTGTTATTTGTCTACAATTCTGTCAACCTTTTCTCGAACCTCTATTGTGTGTCTTCAGCCAGGAGCTCTCAATTCACAGATCCCCTGCTGATATTCAGTGCATTGTGGAATTGCTGGCAAAAATTAAAGAAATTAACATGGTTTCAGCTATGCACATTATACTATATATAATAGGTAGTCGTTATCTTTATGACTATAATTGAGTCCGGAGTTACAGTTGTAAGGCTGGACCTGATTTTTCAACTTTTCTTGCAGCTGTCATTAAGCAAATCCACCCAGCAGCAATTTTTTGCCAGAAGCGCGGGGGGTGGGGGGTGGGGTTAGGGTTAGGGTTAATTGTAACCCCCCAAAAAATTGCAGTCACATAATTGTGGTACACTGCAAACCCCCCTAAAGGTCTGTGCACCTATCGTCCCTTTGAAATTGGGTCATAAGTAGCTTTTGACAGGTCTGTCACAACGAGTTGCTAAACAACCAATCCTAAGCTGAAGGACTATCTGTAATACGAGAACCAAGCAATAACTTGGCCTTGTATCTGATCCATTTCTGTGGCCACAAGAGGGCACAAAACAAGTTGAAAATAGCTTTAAACATCTACTGTGTCGTATACGTTGGTTTGAGAAAGTGGTCACCAGAACAAATCTTGTTTGCACCGAGGGAACCATAAAATATCGTGTGTTTGCAGCAAACCCTCTGGAAACAGCCTCGGAGAGATTGTGGTTGTTGGCAACTGTTTTTCTTGCTACTGTGTTGTGGAGTATGCTATGTGAGTTTGTCTAGCCAGATGCATAAGCAGATCTAATTCTAGAATTTCAGAGAATTTGTTTCCAACATCTTTTACTTCTCCTTCCTACTGAGCTGCATTGCGTTGGCTTGTTTTAGTTAGCACTGGAACTTCAAAGCTGCAGTGACTGACATGCCATCAAGTCACTGTTGATTCTTGACCAGATAGGTAAATGTTCTTTAGAATGACCTGGTCCTTCCTGGTCTTCTAATGGCATTGCAATTTTCATCTGTGTCCAGCTAATCCTCTTTCCTTTCTCCCAGCATTAGAGCTTCTCCAGAGAGCCAGATCTTCTCAGAAATGTGTCCTTACTTGGATCATTTGAGCCTGCCTGGATTGATAATCCTGGGTCAACTTGATTTGCTTTCTTGGCCCTCCGAGGTATTCTCAGAAGCCTTCTCCCAACACCCAAAGTTCAAAGCAGGAGTGTCACTAGTCTCCTTCCTCAAAGTCTGACTCTCCCTTCCACAGGATTAGTTTCCGTGGAAAATTGTTCACAACAATAAGGTCGCTCTGACCTCGTTTCCAGTTCTGCTTGGCATCGAAGGACAATAAGCTTAATGGAGGTGGTCATCTTCGTGTCGTTATGTCATGACTGGCATCTCCAACTCCAGGTTTCCTCTCTTTTCCCCTTCGGTTTCTTTATACTAAAATTGGGGCATATCTGAGGCATACAGTAGTGGCCAAAATTGTAAGTCCTTTTTTCAGTGCCATTGGCGACTTTGAAGGGTTGCTAAATGAATTGTTGCAAGTCAAGGACTACCTGTAGAAACTCGGTGATGTTTGCACCATTCCTCCACAGCAGCTGTGCTCCTAATGCTCCGTGGCCTTCCATACCAATGGGGAATTTTGCTTTCCTTGCACCTCATTCTTCCGGTCTGTTGTATGTCTCTTGCAGAAGGTTTCTCCAGAGCTGTCCGGCTCCAGAAATGTTTCCTAAGCAGGCTTATCTGCAGCAGGACCGAAGCTAAATTGGGAGCAACTGTACCACAGCATCTTGGGCGTAGAGTCTCGCTCAAGTCAGCAATTTTATCATGGATGACTCATGCTTTTTCCAGCCATGCCTTTTCCTCTCTTGCTTGCTCCCTCCCTCCCGCGCTGCAGACACCGGTCCATCTGTTCAGGATTCTCCCCTTCAGGGGAAGTTCATAATTGTATGTGTGTGATAACAAGGCTTGAGTTACAGAAACGAAGTCGAAAACCAGCCCCGTTCCTTCCACCGCCGAATTCTCCCTCTAGCGGCTTCTTCCTGCACTGCCACCATTCCTATGAAAGGTCCCTCCCGGGCAGGATTCCCTTGCGATGTCATTTCTCAGCTGGCCCTTCAGAAGGTAAGGGTCAGCTTGAAGAAATTGACTATCCCAGTGGTGTCCAAGCAAGCGTTACCGATCAGCAAGCCACGAACGAGGTTGGCATTAGCCAAAAACGAGCGGTTAAAACGCAGGAAGTGGGTGGTAGACCACAGTGACGTCATGCAGCTGGTGGTGCTATTTTTACTCCCCTGGGTAATTGTAAACTCAGAGCGAAAGGTAACAGGGAGAAGGAGGAGGGATTTGAAGGGATGGGAGATGGGGGGATGAGGTTGAAACGACAGGCCAGTTTTAAGCCAGGGGGTTGCTTACTTGAGGGAGAATCTAGAATAAAATAAGTTGGAAGAGACCTTGGAGATCATCTAGTCCAGCCCCCTGCTCAAGCAGGAGAACCTATACCATCTCAGACAAGCGACTGTCTAGTCTTCTTAAAACCCCCCAGTGATGGAGCGCCCACGATTTCTGGAGGCAAGCTGTTCCACTGGTTAATTGTCCTCGCTGTTAGGAAGTTTCTCCTTAATTCTAGGTTGCTCCTCTCTTTGGTTAATTTCCAACCATTGTTTCTTGAAATTTGCACGTAAAGAAGGAACGGAAGTCATCCAGATGCGTTAGGAAATTAGGTTAGTGGATCTGTATCAAGACTCGAGTCAAAACTCAAGAAATCTCGGTTGAACCTACGGAGGGTTTGCAAGTCCCCATTGTTCCTTGGGGAATAAGCTTCTGCTTTACAAGTGGGGTAACCCTTGAGTTGTTGCGTTTTTCCTTGAAAACATTTCGCTTCTCATCCAGGAAGGCAAGACGAGAAGTGACAGATGGAAACTAATCAAGGAAAGAAGCAACCTAGAACTAAAGAGGAATTTCCTGACGGTGAGAAAAATCAACCAGTGTAAAAAGCTTGCCTCAGAACTTGTGGGTGCTCCATCACTGGAGGCTTTTAAGAAGAGACTGGACAACCATTTGTTCTGAATGGTATAGGCAGTGGTGGGATTCAGCCAGTTCGCACCTATTCGGGAGAACCGGTTGTTAACTTTCTAAGCAGTTTGGAGAACCGGTTGTTGGAAGAAACCTCCTTTTGTTTTTTTCCACTTTACGGGGCTAATCCTGTAAGGAAGGCAGGAAGGAAACATTGTGGTGTTATTTCTAGCCTAATCTTTATTGCCCTGCTTACAGAAACTGCCTCTCTGGTTAACCCTTATTACATTGTAACAGCTAAGACGAAGAGCCCATCGACGTTGAGTTGGCCATGCCCACACGATCACATGACCACCGAGCCACGCCTACCCAGCTGGTCATTAGGGCAGAGAACCGGTTGTTAAATTATTTGAATTCCACCACTGGGTATAGGGTAAGGTTGTCCAAATTTGGGAACATTTAAGACTTGTGGACTTCAACTACTAGAATCCCCCAGCCAGGATGGTAGTATAGAGTCTTGAGCAGGGGATTGAAGACCTCCAAGGTCCCTTCCGACTCTTGTTATTCCGTTCCAGCTACTGAAGAATTGAGAGCTGAACCGAAGAAGCTTCTTGGACGAGAAGAGAAAGGTCTTCAAGGAAAAACAAAACCCTGTTGCCTTTTGGAAAAGCACTTTTGGGACAACCATGATCTGGGTATCTTGAGAACTTCCACAGACACTTGAGTAAGTGTTTTGTCTGTGCGTGTCCCACCAGTCGAGAGATAAGCAGCTCCACTTCAACAACGCCTGGCCTTGATTCCCAACTGCCGAAAACGTGCAACAAACCGATACGGAGGGAGGCCGTGGACTCAGCCTCTTTCCACGTTTTTTTAAAATTTTATTTACGGGCTTGTGGGTTTACGCACCCAAGTTCTATCCCGGTGGACATCCTGTTCGTTCGTCACTATCTTGAACCCATCCACTTTGCAAACGCTGACCTCCCTCCAACCGTACACTTTTAACTCTTTTTTTCTTCTTCTTTATTGGTTCGATTTATATTTATTTATTGGTTCGATTTATATGCCACCCTTCTCCGGGGTGGCATATAAACTATTGCGTTAAGCAATAGCCTTCATACTTTTGTATATACCTGCTTAGGGCTTTCGCCCCCCCCCCCAAGTGTTCTTCTTTTTTATACAAAGTCAGCTTATTGCCCCACAATCCGGGTCCTCATTTTACCTACCTCGAAAGGATGGAAGGCTGAGTCAACCTTGAGCCTGGTGAGATTTGAACTCGCAGTAATTGCAGGCAGCTGGCAGCTAAGTGCTACTTAACAGCACTTTAGTCCGCTGCGCCACCAAGGCTCTTCTTTTTTCTGCTGGAAAAGTGCAGGTAACATTTATAAGGT